TCTTACACCAAATGGGACCAATTTTACATCAAATGTGACCAATCTTACATCAAATGTGGCCAATCCAACACAGGATGTGGCCAATCTTACACCACATGTGACAAATCCTACACAAAATGTGACCAATCCTACATCAAATGTGACCAATCCAACACAAGATGTGACACATTCTACACAAAATGTGACCAATCCTACACCAAATGCGACTAACCTTACTCCAAATGTGTCCAACCCTACACCAAATGTGCCCAACCCTACACCACATGTATCAAATTCTACATCAAATATGATCAATCCTACATCAAATGTGACCAATCTTACATTTAATGTGACCAATCATATACTGAATGTGTTGAATTGTATGCCAAGTGTACTGATCCCGACCAATAAGTCAAACTCTACACCAAATATGCTAATATTTGCGGATACATCATGTTCATTTGCTGCACTGCGTTCATTAGCTGTGCTGTGTTTATTTGCTGTCATGTTCATTGGCTGCGATGTGTTCATTGGCTGCACCGTGTTCATTGGCTGTGTCATTTTCATTGGCTGAAACATGTTGATTTGCTGCATGTTCGTTTGCTGAACCATGACTGAGGGCGCCATTCTGTGTTGTCATGAAATAACACTTCCAACTGTTATCACTTTGAGTATTACTGCAACAATGGGAAAAACACTACACTTCAATATAAGGTCACAAGAATGAAAAACACTTCATGACCTTGGCATGTTTTCACATTGTAGTCATGATTGAAAAATTATTTATCACAATAAGGACATTCCCAATGAAAGATTTTCTAGACCAGGTACAAGTCGATATATAGTGTTAGTTATATTACAATACATTGTATTCAGATAGACAATGACTATGACCCAGTCACCTATACAGCTATAACCAATTTTTAACCAAACCAAACTTTTACGAATTTCGCCTAAACTTGAGCTGTTAAACTGGATTATTAATGTGATTTATCTTGTATAACATTTTAAACAAATGTGATAAACAAAATTATGGAAACC